TAAAATTGTTTTATTTTTTTATTTTTTTATCATTATTCTACAACTATATTATTTTAAGAATTTGATTTGATGCCTTCCAGCTAGAGACTGGTAACTTGTATGCCAATATTGAACAATCAGAGAGGGCCTACGTGAATTAATGTTTAAATATTTCAACTTTTTAACCAAGTATTTATCTTTTAGAAAAGGCAGCAACTTCGCAAATTAAAAAAAAAAAAACAGTAGGACAATTTTTTTTTATAAAAAGGACAAATGGATGGCTATCAACGAGGTCAACATTGTGCAATCCTAGAAAAATCAAAGAATCCTAATGGAATTAAAAATTTAAACCGTGAGTGAGAAGAAAGTGAATGCGTGAATCCTATTTAATATTTATTAAAATATTATTAAGGTGACATGTTATTTTAAATTTGTCTGGTAAAATTGTACCCTTTACTCATCTTTTTAGGAATTTGATTTGATGCCTTCCAGCTAGAGACTCGTCTTTTATTTTTTATTTTTTTTATAATAAAAACAATAATTAATAAATTAATATTATTAAAAATTAATAATCAAATATTTGATCCCAAATCAAATAAATAATCCACCGACCTAATGAGGCGCGCGGTTGCGGCTTGGTGGAGTTCGACTCGTCTTTTATCATTATTCTACAACTATATTATTTTAGGAATTTGATTTGATGCCTTCCAGCTAGAGACTGGCAACTTGTATACCAATATTGAACAAATCAGAGACAGGATACGTGAATTAATGTTTGGATATCTCTACGTTTTAACCAAGTATTTGTCTTTTAGGAAAGGCAGCAACCTCGCCAATTTTCTTAATAAAACAATAGGACAATTTTTTTTTAAAAAAAAAGGACAAATGGATGGCTATCAGCGAGGTCAACATTGTGGAATCCAAGAAAAATCGAAGAATCCTAATGGAATTAAAACTTGAAATAGGAAGATAAGAAACAAAAGTTGAAACGCTGAAATGTCACTCCCCAAGGGTTCGAATCTCCCTTATTGGATCTAAATCCAACAAGAAAGAATT